TCAATAAAATGAGGACCCAGATTGTTGGGGGCAATGTGCTGACTCTGTAAACCACTTGAGAGTGCTGTAAAGCTCTGTGAAGCAGTATATAAGTCTAAGTGCTATTGTTATTGCTAATTAATTTCAAACAATAGTTGCATAAACAGCATGCAAAGTGAATATTTATTTATTAAGAACATTTATATAACTGTCCAACTCATTCACTGTGACTCCTGGCAGGTTACAAGGATTAAGCCCCACTACCATATCATCAAAATATGAGAGGGGTGTTGAGAGAGAAATTGAGTCTGATTGAATTAAATATATCTAAAAAAAATCATGGCAACCTTGCCACATTTCTTGGCAAGGTTTTTTAGCGGTGGTTTGTTATTGTTTTCTTTGTCTGAAGTGGTGTAGGGTTTCCTATTTAGGCAGGGGGTTGGACTAGAAGACCTCCAAGTTCCCTTCCAACTCTGTTATTCTAAATTCTACATTCAAAATTCTTCCTAGGACTTAGAGAAAGGGATTGGCCCAAGGTTGCCCCATTGGTTTTGGGCCTAAGGTGGGTTCTTGGTTTGTAACTTGATGCCTTAACCACTACACCAAACTGGCTTTCTCTAAAAATAGATTTAGCTAAATCAACCAAAGCTAAAAATGAGTGCATCCTTGGACAACCTGAAAGACCAGATTGGAGACAATTTGTTGTGGAGAAAAATCTATTTGTGAGGCTGCTAAAAGTTGGCAACAACATGATGACACATAATCAAATTTAACCACAAGATACATAAGGAATGATTATTTACCATCTTTAAATTACCTCCTTTCAATACACACAACATTATAATTCTTGAAACTTTCTCCAACATTTTCTGGTTTTTTTTTTAATAATATTTTTTGATCAAGCAGTAATTCTGCTTCAGGTCAGAGTGTCTTTGGACATGTATGCCCTTTGGCTACAGACATTTGTTATTTCTGTGTGGAGTCATGCTTCTCTGGGCAAATCTTGGTTCAGATTCCTCAGGCTTCACAGTTTCTCCTTGAACCAGTCAAAGAAACTGGGCCTTCTCCAACATGGGTCTACGACAATTCGCCACAGCTAACTTGTTGCGGCCAACTTACTGTAGCCAACTCACCACGGAACAATTCACCAGGGCCAACTTGCCACAGGACAAAAATTGAAGAAATAGTGGAATAGAATCATCTTTCAAAGCTCTTGGACGAAAGACAATCTATTAAGCTAACAAATCATAGATTTTCCTGCAATGTTTATGAGTAGAATAGTGACATCCGAGTGCATTCAACATCTGTCCAACAAATGTTGGAAATGTAATCAAATACCGGGCACATATTATCACATGTGGTGGACATGTCCAAAAGCAAAAACATTTTGGATGAAAGTGCATATGTAGTTATCAAAAAAATGTTAAGGCACCATATAAATTATAAGTCAGAACTATTTTTATTAGGCATAATACCAGAAAAATATGACAAAGGGAATGTATATTTAATATTGCACATTTTGACAGCAGCAAGAATTGTATTTGCACAATAAAATGAGGAAACACCGACAGAAGAAGATATAATTTAAAAAATATTAGACTGGGCAGAAATGGATAGACTAACACTGAAGATAAAAGTATTATTGTACGTAAAGAGAAAATACGTATATAAATAAATTGGGGGAAAAACTATCTCTCTTGGGTTCCTTCATGAACTTAATCACTCCATTATATTTTTCTTACTCAGAAAAAGTATTTTCCCCCAAAGCTGCAGGTTGCCTTCTCTAGTTTATAGAGGTGGGGCAGCTCATTTTAATTCCCAGCAATTGTACCTAAAGCCTAAGTGAACAGAAATAAAAGGTTAAACACATCCGGAATGTGCCAGTCCATAAAATATCCATTATGTTGCAACATTATAAAGGCTGGTTCAGTTGGAAGTTCTGTTTAGAATAGATGGAACAATAAACATAACACCCAGGTGTGCAAATTTGGCTTGAAGGTGGAGTCTTTATTTCATGTTTCTTTGGATGACAAACAAAGTCAATAATACACACACACACACACACACACAAGATGATTCCCAATAAAGAGCTAATAGAGAGAAAAAAGTAAAGCCTTTTTAATTCTTAGTGACTCCACAGACATATTGATATATCTTTTATAGAAACGGAACAGAATAATTTTTACCAAGAAGTACTTTTCAATTGAGATTATCTCCAGAGGTTTCTGGTGATTTCTTATCCAGTGTGGTTTGTTAGATTTTTGAGATCATGCATGTGGGTGTTGGTGTACTGTACACATGTACATATTTACTTCTGGCAAAGTGTGAATGGATCGGGAGCTGTTCGCAAACATTGACACAAAAGTGACGCCAGAAAACATGATTAGCTACATTAAACTCACTAAAAGCTGCTACCATAAAAGAGAGGATGGGCTGTAATTAAATTCTCATTTAACTTTGTGTGTTTGCAAAAGACTGCAAACAAGACAAAATTTGTAGTAATTTTTGAAAGTAGATGACTTGGTCTCCCCTACCAGCAGGCCACCGAGAAGCAAATCCTTCTTATCCTGGTGTTTCATTTTTACAAATATGTTAGATTTGGTTTATTCAATTTGAAGATTTTTGTTGTTGTTGTTGTTGTTGCTGATTCCACTTTTAAAAAATGAGCTTTAGGCCATTCAGACTAGTTTTGTGTATGTGTGTGTGTGTGTATTTATATTTATATATGAATTTTGTTAGTTTGTAATATTGTTTACAGCATCTTAAGATTTTTTTTAATAGGATGGCTTTAATTAATGTTAAGTTTTGTTTGTGAGAGTTAATATGGTTGGGCTTAGGCAGTAATAAAGATGAGTTTGACCTTGTAAAAGTTATATTTTAAATATTGTTCTCTAAATCATGCAGTAATCATTTGTATATCTATATATCTCCATCTCCCACCCTCTCTCTCTCTCTCTCTCATCACTCTCTCATCTCTCCCCCCCCCCATCCATCCGTCTATTTATCTCTTAGGAAACCCCTTTGCTGTTTTGTAAATGTACAAATTATTCATGATTGACAATGAAATGGACTGAGATACCAAAATGTTGCCAGCAGCTATGATGTACTGCCATGTGCTTGCAGATTACATCACTCACCTGTCTTTTCTCATGAAAATGACCTTGTTAGTTTAGCCTCTCCATGTGATGTTTTCCAGATGGTTAGGCTTTAAGCCCCATTATTTTTTGTCAATATGATTGTGATCTGGGCACTTGGCACCCAGCTCATGGCTGTGATGTAAGAGTGAACCACCAAGTTAGCGGAGAAGCTGGCAGGAAGTCGCAAGCTGCAGTCTCGTGAGGTCCTGACTTAGCAATCTGCTTGGTTCTCACAATAACGGCAACCAGGACTGCTGAACTGCCGTTGCTAAGTGATGTGGTCATGTGAACCACTACTTGTCCCAAAGGTGCTTTTTCAAAAGGCGACTGGACTTTCTTAGTTTTTCTTTGAACACATTTCCCTTTTCATCCAAGAAGCTTCTTCAGTTCTGACTGAATGGTGGACGATGGAAGGATTTCATCTTCCATTGTTCCATCCTCCATCATTCATTTCCTTCCTTCCTTCCTTCCTTCCTTCCTTCCTTCCTTCCTTCCTTCCTTCCTTCCTTCCTTCCTTCCTTCCTTCCTTCCTTCCATCCCAAAGCATCTTTTGGACAACCATGGCCTGGAAGTCTTAGAAGCTCCATATACAATAAGGACTACTCGAAGTGCTTCTCCTACATTGAGCAATGCTGAAGTCAAAGGCAACTGTCTATCTTTGACTGTTTACTTTTCTAATCATGGCACTGATCAAAGAAAATACAACGTGACAGATTCTCCTCATAATTGATTGCCAAGTGAGAGTTCTCTGAACGATTGCTAATACATTGTGGGCCCAAACTTGCTCAGAAGTGGTGTGGGTTGTCATTTCAATGGCTGTGTTTACCACACACAGAGAGTCAAAACATCACAGCTCAGACTGTCAATCTAGGTCTCGACTCACTGAGACAGAATGTAATTTATTTTAAAAATTTATTCATTGGCCATTGCAATAATTAACCCATACCGGTAGATTCTGGTTAGGGTTTCTGGTTTCACCCATTAACCTTGCTTCATAGTGGTTAACTTCTTTGTATCATCCTCTCATATTGGAAGGGTTGACTATCTATCACGGGCCAGTATCCCTGGTCAACAGGGTTTCACAATCTTAAGAAAGAGGGTGCAAATGCAAGGAAGAAGGACAACAATAACCAAGAGAAAACATGGCTTGTTCCAGGACCAACCCTAACACCGACTCTTTGGAAGGCTTAAGATTCATCTTGATCTAATGTCATCCCGGCACTTAGAAGCTATCAGTAAAATTTGAGTTTACTATAAGCAAACCATGACCAAGGAACAGAAAGAAATAATGGATAGCCTGCAATTGATTCACTGAGGGTGAGACAAGAAGCGGTGGATCGAAACTGATCAAGGAGAGAACCAATCTAAAACTAAGGAGAAACTTTCTGACAGTGAAAGCAATTAGTCCAAGGTCCTTCAAACTTGGCAAGTTTAAGACTTGTGGACTTCAACTCCCAGAATTCCTGAGCTAACATGACTGGAGGAGGAATTCTGGGAGTTGAAGTCCACAAGTCTTAAAGCTGGCAAGTTTGAAGACCCCTGAATTAGTCAATGAAGCAGCCTGCCTTCCAGGGTCGTGGGAGCACAATTGCTGAAGGTTTTCAAGAAAAGATCGGATATCCATGTGTCTGGGATGGAATAAGGACTCCTACCTTGGCCAGGGGGTTAGACTAGAAGACCTCCAAAGTCCCTTACAGCCCTATAATTCTAGGCATATGCTTCATTCTCGACTGCATTCATGTACCCATTTATATGAAAAGAGATCCCATTGATTTAGCAACATTTACTTCTGAACACAGATTGCTTTAAAAAAAATGTTGGACACAATTTGTGTTTTTTTTTTAAAAAAATGCCAGACACATTTATTTTGTGTTGATTTTTTTAAAATAAAAGAAACAATGAAAGATGGCAGGCATTGTCTTACAAGAGGCATTCCATTACATTATCACACACACAGGGTGCCCCTTAGATAGGTATCATACATCAACAGAAAAAAAACACATGTAAAAATATATTTTTGTTCTTCAGTATGATGATTATAGCCTTACCTCAATCGTTGGAAGCTTAATTATTTAAACCAATTAATCTATTCCAATCTTAACTGAGCCTTTTCAAACGGCTATATAAAAAAGCCCATTGAACTCAACAATATCTACACCGTTGTGATTCCTTTATTTGCGGGTCCTTCTCAACACCACCATTTCTATTCTTATTTAAGATATGCATTAGTTAGATACATTAAAATCCCTTTTTACTGAACAAAGAGGAGAGAGAAAGAGGGAGAGGGAGGGAGAGAGAGGGAGGGAAAAGGAGTGAGGGAGGGGGAGAGAGACTCGGAAACCAGCAATTGAGAGACATACTGGGCACCAACAATTGCTGAAACCAACAATTTTTTTTTTATTTACTGTATGGCTTCTTTGGTAGAATTCAATGGGAGACTTTCCCCATTTGAGTAGAGAGGACATTGGCAGGTTGGGGTTAATACAGAGAGCTGTCCAGTAAGAACCATAGGGCACTTGGCAGAAGAATAGCAAAAGATAGGCAGTTGGAAATCCAGCTGGCACCACTTTGGGCTTCCTCAACTTGGACATTTTCAAGTTTGTAAGAGTTATCTCCAAAGGTCAGGGTGGTATTAACTTTTAAGATGGTTTTTGAAGTAGCACATCCCTTCGCGGCGAACTCTTCAGCTGCAGCTGAACCTGTGAAACCAAAGGATAGGGGAGGGACTACAATTAGTATGGGTTTTTCTTCTTCTCATGGGTGATGCTGAATTTGGCTCAACGGTGCCTCCCTTCCATCTCCTGCCATTTTCACTAGAGATGGGCAAATCTGCTTTTTTTTTCTTTTTCTTTTTTCTTTTCTTGGCAGTATTTCCTCAGATCCTGACATGTTTGATTTGGCACATATTTAAATCAATGAATCGATAGTAAAAAAAAACAACAACAAGGAGATATCCACACGTTTTATGTGAGCCGTCGTGGCGGGATGGTTAGAGTGAAGTATTCCTGGGTAATTCTGCTAACGGCCAGTTGCCAGCGATTTTGCAGTTCGATCCTGACCGGCTGAAGGTTGGCTCAGCCTTCCATTTTTCTGAGGTCAGTAAAAGGAGGACCCCGGCTCAAGGTTGACTCGGCCTTCCATCCTTCTGAGTTGGGTAAAATAAGAACCCAGATTGTTGGGGGCCAGACTCTGCAAAACCACTTAGGGAGGGCTGAAATGCAGTATATACTGTTATGTCTCCCCTTTAAATGCAGGAGGGCAAAACGAAACAAGCAGTTTCAAAAAATCACAAACCAAAAACCAAACTCTCACAAGAGGACTGTGGAAGTATTTTCAGTCCTCAGCAATAAATCCAAACTCTGTCCGGCAAACCTGACGTGGCTATAAATCCCAAAGCCTCAAAGAGTTCTCTCCGTGTATTCACTCCCATAAATCACTTTGCTTCTGGCAAAGCTCGCCAGCCAAGCCGTTTCCTTTTATCCTCTATGAGGGCGTGTTAATCTCCTTAATTAGTCACTGGCTCGACGCCTCCTCCCTAATTGAGATTGACGCCTCATCCTTCATCTGTTTCTCACATCTAACCAGGATCTTTCCAAAGACTCCTCCCCACTAGAAAACTCTCGCAAGTGTTCCTGGTTAGCTATTCCCGGCTATTGCTCAGCCAGAGGAGAAGAATCAGAGGAGGTCGAAGGTCCTGATATCTCTATTAAATCAGGTTCGTCTCTCCTAGTTAAATCCATTTCCTCATCCTGACTACAATCCAAATCGCTCAGCAGTGCCGGCTCATAATTCACTGCCATTTCCTCTTCGCTTGAGCTCACATCTGCCAACAGAACAGATTCCAACTCCGGAGTCACAACAATACACTGTAAGTCTGACTGCTATTGCTAAAAATGGGCGTACTTCATTTTAACAACTACCTTGTTTAAGCCACAGAAAGTCTAGTCCCAGCTGTGGTTATATGTCTCAGGTATGTTAGAAGCCAGTACAGCATTTTTGGAAATGAGAGTTTGGATTCAAATGTAAGGAATCCATGTGATGTTTCTGGTTTACCTTTGGTGACTGTCCCACTGACAGTGAAGCATTTGTCCTGGTTTTCCTTGCAGTACATCCGTTCACCCCCACATGTTTTGTTTTTGTAAGCAAAGCATGATGGACAAACCAGCTTTTTGCTGGAAAGAGTCTTGTTAACTTCTGAAAAGCTTGGAAGTTCTAGAAGAGTTAAGATATTCATGGATTAGCACTGAGCTGAACCTTCGGAACTTACCTAAAATTATTCCAGGGGGTGGTATTTGGAAGGGGAAATTTTATCGAGTTCTGGGAGAGACCACTCCCCCAAATCTGTAGAAGTACAGGTAGTCCCAGTTCATTTAGTGGCCGTTCAAAGTCACAACGGCACTGGAAAAAGTGACTTACGACCATTTTTCACAGATATCACCTCTAGCAGCATGCGATCAAAATTCAGGGGCTTGGCCACTGGTTCATACTTATGACCATTGCTGTATCCTGTTCCAAGGTCAGGTGGTCCCCTTTTGTGACCTTCTCTCAAGCGAAGTCATGGGGAAGCCCGTTTCGCTTAACAACCGGGCTGCTAACCTATCAACTGCTGCGATTCCCTTAACAATGTCAAGAAAGGTCGTAAAATCGGGCAAAGCTTGCTTCACAAATGTTTCACTTAACAACAGACATTTTGGGCTCCATTGCGGTTGTAAGACGGGGACTACCTGTACAAATATTCATTCTGAAAATGATGAACGGTGCTGTTCTGAAGCAGCAGCTGGAGGTGCGATCCCTGGTTTGGATTTAATGGACAGTTAGGTCTAATTTCCTGAAGCTTAAAAGACATTAGACATTTTAATGGGCAAATTAAAGCCTCATGTCCTTTCTTGACTTTATGAGTTTACTTGGTGCATTATAAATAGAGTCACCCAACTAGAGGTGGGCTACTACCGGTTTGCACTGGTTCGGATGAACCGGAAGTTAATTTTACATCTTGTTCGCCAAACCAGTAGTTGCAACAACTGGCTGGCACCGCCCACCCCACTCCGCCCCTCCCAGGAATCACCATGTGGCCTATTTTGGAAAACAGGTAAGTGCAGGGCGCACATGGAGACTCAGGGTGGGCAAAACACAGGCCTACCGGAGACTCCTGAAGGCCGGAAATGGGCCTGTTTCTAGCCTCCGGAGAGCCTCTGGAGCCCAGGGAGGCCGTTTTTCCCCTACTGGAGGCTCGAGGAAAGCCTCCGGAGCCCAGGGAGGGCGAAAATGCGCCCCCCACCCACTGTGGTGCAGAAGGCCACACCCACTATGGCCACGCCCATCCAGCAACCGGGCAGAGAACCGCTTGCTACATTTTTTGAAGCTCACCCCTGCACTCAACTGTGCACAGAATAGTAAGAATTCCCTCCAGAGAAATTGCTATTAAAAATGTGCACAGGGTGAAGTGGGAATCAGGGAAAACTGCAAATAAAGGCAGATTTTTTTAAAAACAAACAAACAAAACACGACGATGTCACCTACTTGGAGCATCATTTTGATTACATTGATTTTTGTCTTTACAGCATTTAACGTTGCTCAACAGATAAAAAGCATCCTCAGACAAAATGAACACAAGTCCTTCATTGCAGACATCCCCTTTGATATCCTGGCAGCCTTTACTTGTTGCGTTTACTGTCTTCTCTTTCTCTGCAAACAAATGGGAGGAAGACATCATTAGAAAGAAGCGGAAAAGACGACTGTTGGCATTTTCAGATTTACTTAGAATAACAGAGTTGGAAGGGACCTTGGAGGTCTTCTAGTCCAATCCCCTGCTTAGGGAGGAAACCCTATACCAGAGGTCTCCAAACTTGGCCACTTTAAAGACTTATGGACTTCAACTTCCAGAATTCTCCAGCCAGCCTTTTGGCTGGAGAATTCTGGGAATTGAAGTGCACAAGTCTTAAAGTGGACATGTTTCGGGACCCCTGCTCCATACCACTTCAGACAAATGGTTATCCAATCTCTTCTTAAAAGCTCCCAGCGTTGGAGCATTTACAACTTCTGGAGGCAGGTTGTTCCACTGATTAATTGTTCTCACTGTCGGGAAATTCCTCCTTAGTCCCAAATTGCTTCTCTCCTGGATTCGTTTCCATCCGTTGCTTCTTGTCCTGCCCTCAGGTGCTTTGGAGAATAGCTTGACTCCCTCTTCTTTGTGGCAGACCCTGAGATATTGGAACACTGCTATCATGTCACCCCTTAGTCCTTCTTTTCACCAATTTGTTAAAAAGCACTTCTCCTGAATATCCATCTGAAGGCTGGAGTCAGGATCCTGTGCCTTCACCTTTCAGGTCTATGGAAACCGGGATGAGGTCCCCCAACAATTGGACTCAGTCAAATTTCCACATTGTGGAAGTTCGTTTCAGTCACATTTTTATGGCCATGTTGATTAAGCACAATCTTTATCTTTTGCCTCTGAGGCCGAGACATCTGCTGAGAGCATTTTAAAAGTTACCGGACAACAGAGGTGTGGAAAGCAGAGGTGGTATTGAGCAGGTTCTGACCGGTTCTGGAGAAGTGGTTCTGGAGAACTTCTGACCAGTTCTGGCGAAAATTTTGAGTAGTTCAGAGAACCAGCAAATCCCAACTCTGACTGTCTCCGCCCCATCTATTCTCTGCCTCCCATTGAGTCCCAGCTGATCGGCTGGGTCTTCTTTGGTTGCCCTGCCCAGGAGAACGGAGCTGGAAAGCAGGTCAGTGGGGTGAGGGGAGGGAATGGAGATTTTGCAGTGACCTTCTCCCAGGAGTGGGGAGGGAATGGAAATCTTACAGTATTCTTCCCCTGCCATGCCCATCAAGCCACGCCAACGAAGCCACACCATAACCACAGAGCCAGTAGTAAAAAAATTTGAATCCCGCCACTGGTGGAAAGGATGAGAGCCAGAGGTGGTATTCAGCAGGTTCTGACCAGTTCTGGAGAACCGGTAGCGGCAATTTTGAGTAGTTTGGAGAACAGGCAAATACCACCTCTGACTGGAGATTTTACACCAGTGGCAGTCAACCTGATCCCTACCACCCACTAGTGGACTTTCCAGCTTTCCTGGTGGGTGGTAGGGGTTTTGTCCCCTACTTTATAAATCACCATTACTGTGGAACCGTTGGGCGGTTAGAGAAAATCTTACTACTAATAGAGATACAAAAGTGGGTGGTAGGTATAAAAAGGTTGACTACCCCTGTTTTACACTATCCTTCCCCTGCCACGCCCACAGAACCGGTAGTAAAAAAAATGGCAGAATTCTTGCCTCTTTCCTCATCTTTTTGATTGTAAGAGACAGGTAGCTTAGCTTTTCTGTGAAGGCAGGCAGGGCAGCCTTCTTTTGGTAACAGTTAGCTCTTCTATTAGTGCAAAATCAGACTTTCACCTGCTGAGAGGTGAGGCTAAAATGGATGCTGGAAAATTTGTTTCTCAGAAGTGAGTTGATATTGGGCACCTGATTTTCTCCCCTCCTCCTTCTCTCTTTCTTTTCTTCTCGCTTTGCCTTCTCATCCTTCTTTCTTCTCTGTTTCTCTCCTTTCCTCCTCTCTTCTCTTCTCCTCTCCTCCTTTCCTCCTCTTCTCTCCTCTCCTCCTCTCCCCTCCTCCCTCCCTCCCTCTCTTTCAATCGAGAAATTTCCTAGAAGAAGTCACTCAGAAAAGCAAAGAGGAAGTGTCAGCATTTACCGGTAAAGATTTCCCTCTCAACTGAATAACATTGTCCGTCTTGGATAGTACAAGTATTTTTATCTTTATCGCATGGTGGTCCGGATGTCGGTGTGGAACATTGGCAGGTCAGCTCAGCTGTTGCTATTTGGTGTGGGGATGAGGGAAAAAAAGAGAATAAAATAACAATAACTTTCAATTGAAAAGCAAATTGACAATTTAATTTAATTTAATCTTTCTGCTTAAATAAATTGGCCCAAAGCGCCCTTGGTTTATGCACCAATACACCGCTTGCTCATTATCCAGATAGGTAACTGTCAACATCCGAAACAGCACACTGTTCAAAATGGCCACACACATGCCGGGGGGGCGGTATTTATGGGGCCACAGGTGGGTGTTGGGTGATGGGACTCATGCTGGGAGCGGAGCCAGGAAGGCAAACCAGCTGCGGTCAGTTTAGAAGTCAACCAGGCCTGAAAGTACTTGCCACCAGGAACCAGAGGGTGGAGCGTGCTGAGTCTGTAAAGCCAGTTGCAATGGTGGGCTGTTGGATGGTTGGCGAGGTTCAGGTGAGCCCCTGGCTGTGATCTCTGGCTGGGCCTTCCCAGCCGCCCTTGTGCTATGCTTTCCAGAGGTGGTATTCAGCCAGTTCTAACTAGTTCTGGAGAACCGGTAGTAAAAATTTTGAGTAGTTCGAAGAACCGGCAAATACCACCTCTGACCGGCCCTGCCAACCCCATCTATTCTGTGCCTCCCATTGAGTTCCAGCTGATCAGTTGGCTCTCCTTTGGTTGCCCTGCACAGGACAACGGAGCTGGAAAGCAGGTTAGTGGGGTGGGGAGCAGAGGTGGTATTCAGCCAATTCTGACCAGTTCTGGAGAACCAGTACTGGAAATTTTGAGTAGTTCGGAGAACCGGCAAATAACACCTCTGACTGGCCCTGCCCCTGTCTATTCTCTGCCTCCTGAGTCCAAGCTGATCGGCTGGGTCTCCTTTGGTTGCCCTGCACAGGAGAACGGAGCTGGAAAGCAGGTGAGTGGGGTGGGGAGGGAAGGGGGATTTTGCAGTATCCTTCCCCTGCCACGCCCACAAAGCCACGCCCACAAAGCCACACCGACAAAGCCACGCCAAACCCACCAAACCACGCCCACAGAACCGGAAGTAAAAAAAAATTGAATCCCACCACTGATTCTTTCCCTAAATAACTAACATTCCCCCTCCCCCGGCTGCCCAGGTGAATTCCGCAACGGCCTGCTGTACTCATCGTAGCTGCCTGTTTGAAACTGCGTTTCAGCCCCAAAGTGGCAAAGTGCATGGCCAGCGAGCCCCTTGTCAACAAAAGTGCAGCCCACCTCTGGCCAGCTGGCTAGCAGAAGCCAGGAATGCTGGCTAGAAACTCTTGCACTTATATTGTTCCCCACGTGCCAAGCTGACTCCAGTAAAGACACCCTTTCTGCTCATAGTGTGGTCTCTTCTTTTGCTGGCTTGGTTGGAACTGCGACAGTAACATCAGCAGGCACTTCACAGCAACCAAGCTGAGAGAGCACCAAGGACCCCACACAAATATATATTTTAATATTAATCAATCAGTAATCTCCAAATACAATGGATTACAAGGTCATCATCACTCTTCGCCTTTCTGCTCACTCAGCCCAGAGAGTCTATGTTCCAAGTATTTATTGGCCTTACCTGTAGCTATCAAAGCAGCGAAGAAAAGAAGATACTTCATTTTTTTTTTTCTGGGAATGGAAAACTTTTGGTTTGCACAGGGATAAATGTTCCAGCAACGAATTCCATCAGGTTAGAAATGGGTGAGAAGAAAGAGCAAGAGAGAATAAATATGGCAAATGAACAACGGGGAACTTGGAGGCAAGGTCATGAAACCCATGACATCATGAGTTGGATAAGGTTGGGGTCTTTTTTAAATACGATCTCTAAAATTCTCTATTTGGGAGAAACACAGCTTCAAAGGTGTAAAATTACAGTGGAGGAAATAGAAATTACCTTCTATTCATGACAGCTTAGAAATTTCCCAATTCTTCATGACCTAGTCTTCCCCACCCTAAATGACGAATTCCCTCTGTCATTGGGCACTTTAGTTTTGGCTGAGAGCCACAGGGAAAACTAAATGTGGTTGAGGTTTAATACAAATAGCAATAGCACTTAGACTTATGTACCACTTTTATAGTGCTTTACAGCCCTCTCTAAGCGGTTTACAGAGTCAGCACATGACCCCCAACAATCTGGGTCCTCATTTTACCCACCTTGGAAGGATGGAAGGCTGAGTCAACCTTGAGCCTGGTGGGATTTGATCTGCCAAATTGTAGGCAGCCGGCAGTCAGCAGAAGTAGCTTGCAGTACTGCACTCTAACCACTGTGCCACAGAGGCTCCCTATATATGTGCAAATACTGCAAAAACTTAAAATAAATTAAATATATATGCTTCTCCTGGCTGACCTTGGATGATTTTTGAAAAGGCGAGAGGATCAGAATAGGTGGTTACGCGAATGGGAGACCACCCCAAAACTCTCGATTTGTAGACCTGATTGGAAAGGGGGAATCCTGGAACTTGGTTCAGGAAGCCAAGTTGGTTGTATCTGAGGTTGATTCCTTGGCAGAGAAACTAGGCAAAAGTTGGAGAATTATGATGTTGTTGACAAAAATTAAATTTCAAACCTACAGAGGCTCCCTTTGCTCACTGTGGAATTCTGGGAGTTGAAGTTCACACATCTTAAAGTTGACAAGGTTGAGAAGCATGATTTCTGACTATTGGCTATCCAATTGTTTCTTGAGGTAGAGATAACAATCTTGCATTTTGCTATAAAAAGCCATTTTGTGCCATTATGAATTATTCAAATGGGGTCGTGTTTAGTTTTAATTCTTCTCTTTAAAGTCTGGACTATTTTGTATAAATTAGCATGTGGGTGGTATCAGGCCCAGTGCTGGTTTTTTTTTCTCCACATAAAACAGCAGCAGCAGCTAATGGATCTTTTAAACGATTAATAGGCTCAGTGACTATTTGTTCTTTCAAGATATCTTCAACTAGGACAAACACTCTGTGCTTTAAAAGTCCACAACATGCAAATGGAAAACAATAGATCATAGCTAGCAGGAAGCAATTAGAATGAGTGCTAAGGTAGTAGCTATGCCTACAGGTTGAAAAAGAGGGGTGTCTGAGGATATGAGAGATGTCTCTTTGTTCACTGTGCAGGTGTACCTTTTTTCCCTATGCAAATTAGAGAAAAATATGAAAGCAACAGCTGCAAATGTATGAATTGAGCCAGACCTGGTATTATATAACTGTCAGCCTTGTAAGCCATTTTTTACTTGGAAGCATCAAGACTACCACATTTAGTGCCTGGGAATTTGGGAGGGGGGATTTCATAGTGAGGTAGAAGATTAGACATAACAACATTCTTTCTCAGGGTGTCAAGGACAAGTTTCCCTGCACCTGGAGGGGAGTGAGCGGAGGGATGTCTCCAGTTGGGACAAAGATTTGATTGGACCATGTGATGGACTGATGGGTGTAGGGGATGGACCTTTGACTTCTCTTTTGGGAAGGGAAAATCCGGAACTTTCAGATTCGGGTTTTCCCAGATGTGCCAATATGACAACTCTAATAAAATGGAACTCTGAGGAAATGCTTGTCTTGGAGTTTATTGGAGTTGGTTAGTTGGAATGCTGACAATAACTTCATGTAACATCCCAGTTGTCTCCTTCCCCCAAATGCAGAAATCTCACGAGAGGGAGAAACCTTGTGAGATGTGGTACAAAAAATGAAATAAATACACCAAGGAATAAAAGCAAAAAACCTGCAAATGGTTAAAACCTATTTCATTGCAGGAGGGAAGTAAAACTTGGCACCTCGGGTGAGTCCACAACTTTTGCAAACCTTGAAGAAACCTTCAAAGAAGTCCATGAGGAATGATAGCGAACCTCTAGAAGAAAATGAAGCTCTCTAGATACCTAGGACTTCAAAATTCTCATTGGTCACTGCCAGGGCATTATTGGAGTACCTAGACTTTCCTATTTACTGGCCTCATCCATAGTGATTCCAAGAGCCAGGAATACTCAGACTAAGGTAGCCAAAAACTGTTTATCTCGCTTCCCAAGAAAGTCACCAAAACCAAGAAAATCACCAAACAACAGAAAAGAGCAGAATCAAATCATTTTCCTTCATAAGCATAGCTCCAGTCAAGCAATCCCAGGCGCAAACTGAAAACATTTAACACCATGAATATATAAATTCCCCTCTTACCTGTTTCCTTTTTTTCTCTGGCTCCTTGATAACTTTTGTGATATGATGCTTATAGGCAAAACAAGGGCACTGTCGATCTGCTGCCTCTTTATATTTGGATGGGCGGAGCGGATATGAGATTAAAATAAACAAGGTAGCATAGTGGGGCAAGCGAATGATTCATTTTGAGGTGTACTTCTGGTTAGCATGCTGGACATATGCTTCTTAAAAGCCAGATGTAGAAGACATGATTGGTAAACACACTAGCATATTGATCAGCAGGCCTCTCTGGTTTACTAGTACTGATCCCCAAACCCCAAAAACTTTAACCTTAGACTGTCTACTATTGACCTCACCCCTTTCCTAAGAGGTCTGTAGGGGGTGCGCATAAGCACACCAACATGTCTACCATCCCTATCCTATTGTTTCTTTTATCTTTCTTTTTTTTTTTTTTAAATATAGTTTATTAATTTTTACAATTAAAACCAGTCACAATACATACACAAATAAGCAAAAAAAAAGAAAGAAAGAAAGAAAAGAAAGAAAAGAGAAGAGGAAGAGAGGGAAAGAATTTTAAGAAAAGAAAGAAAGAAAGAGGTTACAGGATTAAAAGTATTCTTATTTTAACAGTTTGCAAGATCTTCTTTTGTTTTCATCACCTTAACTTGTGTCATATAACCACACCTGTTTTTAACTTATATCGCTACCTCGCTATTATGTATTGATACTTTTCTTTTATGCCTTATAATATATTATTTATCTTTGGTCAATCCAATTATACCAACAATTCCAGCTGTCATAGTATAGTGAAGTGTCTTTGTTTTTTAGCGCCAAAGTCAATTTATCCATTTCTGCGCATTTTGAGATTTTTTCAATAATCATTTCTTCTGATGGAATTTGGTGTTGTTTCCAATGTTGAGCGAAGGCTAATCTGGCCGCTGTTAAAATGTGTATAGTTATGTATTTGGTTTTTTTGGAAATTTGCTTATCAAAAATCCCTAGTAGGAAGGACTCTGGTTTGTATTCGATCTGCTCTTTGGTGATTTCTTCCAACCAAGTTTTGATTTTCTTCCAATACTTTTGGGTTTCTGCACAGGACCACCACATATGGAAAAAGGTTCCTTCTTTTTTCCTACACTTCCAGCAATGCGGACTCATGTTGGGGTGCATCTTCGCTAACCTCGAAGGGGGGAGATGCCATCTATAGAACATTTTATAAAGATTTTCCTTGTATGCTGCCGATTTGGTAATCTTATTGTTTCTGCCCCAAACTTTCTCCCATTCCGCTAATGTGATGCTGCGCCCTACATTCTTACTCCAAGCAAACATATTTCCTTTTACAATTTCTTCTTCTAGTTCTGTTTCTAATAAGTAGTTATAAAATTTTGTTATGTTTTTTTTATTTGATCCTAATAAAATTTTATCTAACTGTTGCAGTTTGTTATTAATTCCGAATTCTTTTTTGTCTTGTTTATATCTGCTTTGAATCTGAAGATAAACCCTGTTCTGTATAGAAATCTACATACTCGAAATCCGGCAACCCGGATTGGCTAAAACGCACTGCCACCGGATTGGCTGAGTGCGCGGCACTGATTGGTCGCTCGGGATCGCCCGCGATTGGCTGAGCCGATCGCGGGCGATTCAAAACGACCCGATTGGCCGCAGCACTCAGCAGAAGGTCTTTTTAAGCCGCGCTTCTTCCCCACTTTCCCCACTTGTGTTTTACCCGAATAAAGAGCTGAACCAAGTCACTGCCTCGCGTCCTTTGTGCGTATGAGATATACGACAAACCCATTGATCAATTTTATGTCCTTGCTCTTGAAGATCCAGCCTCGGTTTCAAATTTCCTTGTGGGTCTAATAAGTCTTTGTATTTAATCATTTTGGTAAGCTCCAAATTGTTTGGGTGAATCATTGCCTCCATTGTTGAAATCCATACTGGTACTTTTGTATAATGTTTTTTCCTTATTTTCCTCCAAATTGTTAATAGTGCGTCTCTAATTAAATGTCTATGGAAATATTTTTGACTGGTTTTCCCTACGTCCCATAGAAAGGCGTGCCACCCCCTTTGTAAATCATGGCCTTCTAGAAATAGTATTCTATTATTGGTTAAACTCACCCAATCCTTCAACCAAACTAATGAGGTGGCCATATGGTATAACTCCCAGTTTGGAAATGCTAACCCTCCCCTGCTCTTCACATCCTGCATTGCTTTTACATTTATTCTGGGTTTTTTCCCTTGCCAAATAAATTTCAGGGTTGTTCTATTGAGTTCTTCAAAAAACTTTTTATGTAATTTAATTGGGATCGTTTGGAATAAATACAAAAATTTAGGGAGAATGTTCATTTTAATAGTAGCAATTCGGCCTAGTAGTGAAATTTGAAGTTTCCCCCACGATTCTAAATCTTTCTTTACCTGATGTATCAGTTTATCATAATTGTTTTCTTTAAGTGTCTTACAGTGTGGGGTTAGCCAGATTCCTAAATATTTCACTTTCTTTGTCACTTGTATCTGCATTATTTCTTCTAGTTCTATTTTCTGTTTTTCTGTTAGGTTTTTGGTCATTAATTTAGTTTTTTTTTTGTTTATTTTAAGTCCCGCTACTGCTCCAAATTTCTCTAATTCACTCATCAATTTTGGTCCCCTGTCTTTTGGTTCTTCAAGGAAGAAAATCATGTCGTCCGCAAACGCTTGCAATTTATATTCCTCTTTCTTAACTGTTAATCCCTTTATATCTGAATTCCTCCTAATTCGTGTTAATAATGTCTCTAATGCTAATATGAAGAGCAGGGGAGAGAGTGGGCAACCCTGTCTCACTCCTTTTTCTATCTTTATTGGGCGGGTGCATTCCCCATTCACTATTATATTAGCTTGTTGTGTGTCATATATAGTTGTTATAATATTTTCAAATTTGGTACCCAGATTCAAATTATAAATTTTTTGAATTAAAAATTGCCAATTCAAATTATCGAAAGCTTTTTCTGCATCTAGAAACATGAGTGCTACTTGTCTCTCTGGGTGGGCTTCATAAAATTCTAGTACGTCTAATACTATTCTTAGATTATTCTTTATTTGCCTAGTTGGAAGGAATCCATTTTGATCTTCATGTATATACAAGTTTAGCAATCTTTTTAATCTGTTTGCTATAATAGAAGTGAATATTTTATAATCAGTATTTAAGAGTGAAATCGGCCTGTAATTGTTTATATATCTGGGATCTGTATCCTCCTTTGGGATCAGCGAGATCAGTGCCCCCCTCCATGAGTCCGGCATCCTAGCTGCTAATAAAACATCATTAAAAACTTCCACCATAAGTGGTCCAATTTGATCTGCTATTGCCTTGTACAGCTCCCCTGGGATCCCGTCTGGGCCCGGGGTTTTATTATTTTTCTGGCTCTCTATTGCTGATTTCAATTCCGATTCAGTAATGTCTTTATTTAATAGTTCAGTCATTTCTTCCCCAATTGCCTTATCCTTTACTTCATCTAGATAATTCCTTATTCTATCTTCACTGACATCCTCTCTTTTGTATAAATCTTCAAAGTATTTATGAATGATTTCTTTTTTCTGTTCTATTTCCTGGTATGTATCTCCTTTGCTATCTATTAACTGGTATATCAGTCTCTTCTCTTTCTTTTTTTTCAATTTATAAGATAGCCATCTTCCTGGCTTGTTGGCATGTTCAAAATAGATTTGTCTAGTTAAGTTCAAATTCATAGTCATTTTCTCTTGATCAATTAAATTCAGTTTGTGTTTGACTATACTTATCTGATTTTGCAGTTTGGATTCTTTTGGGTTATTTTGTAGAAGGGTTTCTAGCTCCTTAATTCTCTGTTGTAATTTGTTTTGTTGGGAATATTTTTCCTTGTTTCTCTTAGCATTATAAGAGATTGTTGTGCCTCTTATAACCGCCTTCATCGTATCCCAAACGTTTTGTTTCGTGGTTTCTCCGTTATCATTTTCTTTAATAAAAAAAATCAATTCCTCCTTTAATTTATTAATATATTCTTTCTCTCTTATTAATTGAGTGTTTAAGGTCCATCTTTTCTTTGGTTTTGCCCTGCCCTTCCATATTACCTGTATTGGATTATGATCTGCCCATTCATTAGGCAAAATTTCCACTTCTTTTGTCTCATTTGCTATCTCTCCACTCATCCATGCCATATCAATCCGTGTCCATGTTTGGTGGGGATTTGAATAAAATGTAAATTGTCTTTTTTCAGGATGTAATCTTCTCCATATATCTGTCAGATTTAGCTCTTTCATCATTTCCCTACAAATCTTGGGGAGCTCTCTCTTCCCCTTTTTATTCTTCCCGGCATTACTGTGATCCTTTTGGAAATCAGCAATGGAGTTGAAGTCCCCTACCATACAAATATTTCTTTTTTGCAATTCAACCAATTTTCCATATAGGTGTTTAAAAAACTCTTTTTGGTCTCCATTTGTGGCATATATTACTACTAAAAGAATTGGAATATCATTAATCCAGATCTGCAAACCCAGAGTCCTTCCTTCTAAGTCCGACCATATTAGCTCAGATTTCAAATCCTCTTTCACATATACTGCGATTCCCTTCTTTTTCTCCTCATCTGCTGGTGTGGTAAATAATTTTCCTAATTTCGGGCATTCTAAATATTTTTCATCCTTCTTCTTTATATGGGTTTCTTGCAGGCACGTTATATCTGCATTATGTTTAATTAATTTAGATAATATCCTTTTTCTCTTAATTGTTGAATTTAAACCATTTATGTTTATTGATAGTAATTTTTTTTCTTCTCCCATCTATTTAGTTTTGTTTTGCTCTTTGTCGTGTAACAATTCCTCTCTCTTCTTGCGCTTGTATTGATGTAGTTCCTTCTGTCTTTTGTTGTGGATAGGTATTTTCTTGGTTTCCTACCGTTCCAGTTCTATTTTTATGTCCACTGTATTCTTCTTGAAACTTTGTGTCCAATTTCTCCCTACTACTTTGCTCCTGTGGGCCCACGATCCGTTCGTAAAAATCCTGGGCTTTTCCCATAGTATCTATTTTGATTTTCCTCTCTTTCCACGACACTAACATTCCTTCTGGAATAAGCCATTTAAATGTGATTCTTTTTTTA